CCCCATGACCTCACTGGGGGGTGGGGCTGAGGGGGGGGTCTTCCCCTTAGGAGGAGGTGGTACCTGGCTCCTCCCCATGATGTCACTGGGGGTGAGGCTGAGGGGGGCCGCTTCCCCTCAGGATGGGGAGGGGGAGGGGGGCAGTGACCTTGCCCCTGCCTGGATGTGGAGCTTGACGGACCCCCGTGTTGCCCCCGCAGTGCGCGAGCAGCTGAAGGAGCTCACCAAGCAGTACGAGAAGTCGGAGAACGACCTCAAGGCCCTGCAGAGCGTCGGGCAGGTGCGGCGGACGGGCTGCCCCAGGGCTTTCTCGAACGGGTCTTTTCTTGGGCTGCCTGTGCTGGGGGTGACGTCAGACAAGTTTTGGAGGTCAGGGATGCTGCCTCGGGCCCTGGAGAGCTCTGGGCGCCTATAGACGAGGCTGCTGCGACGTGCTGTGATCGAGTCTGTGGTAACTACCGAGCTCCAGCAGACTCCAGTGTCTTGTGTATCAGCGTCCCCATGCTTACAGATGGTGGCAGGGGTGCTTTAACTAAAACTCGGTGGACAAGCATTACTTCAAATGCCCCCACTGCCAGTTTTAAGCACAGGGATGCTGATACGCTAGCCGCTCCACACGCGTTAAGTAGAGCGTCTTTTGGAGCTGCTCTAATTCAAGCACCCCCTCAGCTCCTGAAGTATGTGTATCAGCACCCTCCGAAAGCTGAGGGAGAGCGTCTTGTGCTCAGCTGCCAGTCTAACTTTATCCCAGTGACATGGTTGGTCCAGTAAAAGACACCACTCTCAGAAGTCTTTGCCTCTCGCCTAATTTCCCAGCTATAGCAGCTACAGCATCACCCTATGCTGACTGCTATACAAGGGAGTGTAAAATAAATCATAGCTGAAGCAGAGCCTAGGGAAACAGGTAGTGCTTGTGGAGCGGCTGTTAATTGTTTTGAGGATAATTTAGTGTGCCCTATGCAATGTATCTATTCTACATGGCATATCTAATGGTATTTTTCCCTATTTCTCTTGTTTAGATTGTGGGGGAGGTTCTAAAGCAGCTAACAGAAGAGAAGTGTAAGTACAGGCACTTGCTTGAAATGTTGTCTTTCTAAAGTAAACCAAAAGGCCAGTGTGGTCACACGGTCTTTTAAATCACTGGATTTGCACAGCACTGTGAAAATTTTGGGCATGTCTACACAGGACATTTACTTTGCAGTAGACTAATAAGCTGCCCAGTAAATGTCATGCATTTACATGTGTGCCCCTATTAAACTAGTTCACAGCAGTGAACATGTAGACACTGCCCCGGTTGGCTGAGGCATGAGGGTGCTTTATTACAGGGGATACTTGCTGGCTTGCATCACACCGAAGCACCGTTATGCCCCAGTCAGCCCCTCCATAGCACTTTGAGCCAGGGGAAGCAGCCCCTGACTGGCAAGCTGACCCCTTTGGGCCCCCTGCCAGCTGGGGCTGCTTTGACCCAGCTCGACGTGCTGCAGTCCCGGGTGCACACGTTAAACAGTGCACCTGGAGCATTAAGCTTCTGAGTTATTTTTCCATAGTTTCTTTGCATTAATATGCACGTGTAGACATGCCCGTTGTGTGGTACTTGGTATTGCTCAGTAGCAGGGAGACAGGTGAAGGACAGTGTGTAAACTTGTTTTATATGTTCTTTTTTTTTTTTCTTCTAGTTATTGTGAAGGCTACGAATGGGCCACGATATGTGGTTGGCTGTCGTCGTCAGGTAAGCCTGCTTTACATGGATACTGTTAAATAGCTTGCTCTCATGTTAAATGATCCAGTTGCTTTGTCTCAGCAGTGTTTTATAAATTTGTACAGTTCTGTGCTTTCTTTGTTCACTTGTGCTTGGCCCCAGTGTGCAGTTTTCTCTGTACTGTAGTGATGGCCTGTGAAAGATCAAGAATATTGGACTTGAATAAGAAAGCAAAAAGGATACAGTCCAAGAAGTTTCTGGGGATTTTGAGATGTTTGATCCATCCCATCGATTTAACACCTCCCTCCCCATATCTCATCAGATGGTTTCTGCCCGTCTCAAGTGGTTGGAAAGGTTATGCCTCCACATCTAACCATAGAAGTGTGTACAACTTTGGTTTCCATCATGCTGTCCTTTCTAGTTGCACTAAACCTCCTGCCTGGTGCTCTAGGTCTAAGCCATGGACAGTTTTTCTTTTAATACTGTATTCTCAAAATCGCCCCATTGTGTATATTTTGTGATAATTACATAGCTTCTGGAAGAAAGTTATAAGCTTTAGTTATGTGATCTGGGTGCTTTCAGTTAAGGGTTGACTGTTGCTCATTTCAAGTTTTATACTGTGAGCCTGTGACGGGGCCATCATGTCACCATACTGACCCGCCCCTTTGTCTAGGGCAGTTTGCCCTGTTTCACCTGCCATGACTTGCTGTAAAATGGACCTAATGTAATAAGCAGAAGGCTGTCCATTTTAATGCCCTGATACCAAGGAGCGCTATCCACAGCTCCATACCACCCCTACGCTGTGGCTGATTCCTCACAGATGGCATCCAGATTATAATTAAACGTCCGGTCTAAGGCCGGGCAAAACTCGGTCCACTGTTGGTCCTCTTATACACTGCCCCTTTCAGGACCACATTCATACTGCCTCCCTCTCACTGGGGCCTCTTCAACTCTGCCCATCACTGAGCCACTTGCAACCTGCCCTGCTCCCTTGAGTGACCAAATAGGCCATCAGACTTGCCTACTCAGGCTCCTTGACCGGCCAGTGCTCAGCCTTTTGGGCCTGTCCTGTGACCCTCATCTGAACAGTGACCGGCCAATTTGCCTACCAGTGGGCTGACTGCCCCTAGCCCAGGGACGGGCAATTAGTTCAGGCAGAGGGCCGCTTACCAAGTTTTGGCAAGCCATCGAGGCCCACGTGGGTCGCCCTGCCTTTTGACAGGTGCCCCACCCCCTGGTTGCCATCTTGGAACCGGAAGTCCTACCCCCTAACCCCTGACTTTTGCTCCCCTTGCCCCCCAGAATTACTCCTTTCAGCAAGGGTTTTTTGCCATCTCTGAACCAGAAAAATACCACATTATATTCTAAAAATTAAACATGTACTACAACATTCATTAATTTCATTTCAAAAAATATTTTTGTCCTGATTTACATGTGTTTGTGTAGTGTACATAGAGGTGATAATATAACAGCTTAAAATGAAGTCCTACTCTTGTATATTGTGGGAGGGTGTGGGTGGGAGGTGGGGGTATAGGTTTGTGGGTATGTGGGGTGTAGAGGAGGGAAGGTGTGTGTGTGTGTGTGTGTGTGTGTGTGTGTGGATGTTAAATTTGGGGGAGGGTGTTGGGTGTGGGTGGGTATGGAGCTTGTGGGGGCATGTGAGTGTGTGGGGGGAAGGTGGCTGGGGAGGGTTGTGGCTTGCATGGAGGAGGAGGGTTTGCCCACATCCTATTTCCTCCCTCAAATGGCAGGCAGAGTGCCCGCTAGTGCTCCTGCAAGCCTGGGCTCTGTGCTCCTGCCATTCCTAGCCCCAGGGCACTGGTGTGGGCCCCATGCTCCTGCTCACTGCCACTTGCCCCCTGTCTACCACTGCTACCCTTCTGCTGCTTCCCCATTCCCCCCCACCCTGCACCATGTCGCAGCTGCTTCTGCGGG